CGAACCCCATGCGCCCAGCCGTCAGGGGAGAGAGTATCGCGGGCGCACGAAATCCCGACGGCTGGAGACTGAGCCTATATGCTACATGGCTTTACTGTATTAATGGTTGTAGCAGAAATTAAAATTATGTGTTGTGTTACACCCCTCTTGAAAATTCTTACAAGTAGATACCGTGTTTTTTTTTATTTATAACCCAAAGCTAGCGAAAAATGAGATTCACAAGAAACCTTCCCGACGATAACCTTGATACCCTGTTCGCATTTTAGTTGTTTTTTAGGACATATCAGGACTCTTCTTTTCCAAAGAATCCTCTGAAAACCTCTCAGTTCTCCTTCCCCTATTCAATGTTGGATTGTTTAAATTTCACTGATTGATGGATCTAGCAACATTAAACTGGGGAGTTTATACCGAGAGTGCCACGAATCAGTGAGAAAATTTCAGTTAAATGGTGTTAAGCTAGTTTTGGCGGGAAGTTTTGGGTCTATACGCTATCTTTGAAGTCGGTAAAAAATTGAAATAAGTATGGGTTGATTTACACTGTCGCGTGTCATCAATTTTTTGAGATATTTGGCAAAAACGTTTTTCGACAAAATGCGATTTCCGTTGCCTAGGTAACGTTAATGGCCGAGGTAAATTTAACCAAACAAAACTTTGATCAATGTTTTATTACTGGTCCAAACACCAAATAAATCTGTGCATGGCAAGATTTTCAAAAAGCGAATATAAAAGGAGAGGTATGGTCGAGAAAACTATAAAAAACTATAGGAAGCCACCTTAAAATCGTACTGCAAGTCGCAGGTTGCGTATGACCAGGGCTATCTCTGTGCGCCATTTTAAAAAGCGAGCAGAGTAGCCCTCGGACGAGGATGGTAGTACATCACAAGTTGCACGCGATAATCCTACCATGTAAATCGGCCTTATCTTAAGATGAGTCTTATCTTCAGGTGCGACCACCAAATATGCCGGTTTGTGAAGAATAAAACAATAGCAATATTGGATTTTTATAATAAGATACTGAAGTAGCCATATTAATATTTATTTTTTGATTTTCTAAATATCACCAGATCAGTTCTCGTATGAAGCCATTGGTTGTTACAAAGACCCTGGGTGGGTTATAGGGAATCTTGAAGACATGCTTTCACTTTCCGATTCAACACCTTACGGACAACGTACAAATGCCATACAAAAATGTGCACAGGCCGCAAAGGMTCGTGGTTACTCCGTGTTTGGTTTAAAGAAAGGCGGATACTGTAGAGGTGGTTATGAAGGTCATCTTCACTACCAAAGGGCAGGCATTGCCACAGACTGTCCTGCAAATGGAAAAGGAAGCTCAACATCTCTAAATATTTACAAATTTGATGGTACGAATTGGAATCATGTTGTATATAGAAGATATTACATGAGCGCACGGAGATTTGAGTGTTGAAAAGATCTCTCACGAGTGAGCGTATTTCCAAGCGACCATGTAATATTCTGCTTAAATATGAAAGCAAATTATGTCGTAAAATATGAAGACTTTGAACAATGGTAGTTAGGTTAGTCATGGCTGCCGATGGGAGACTAATGACGAAAACAATATGGGAACGATTCCTGGAAGTCCTAACATAAACACCAAGAAAATGGCACGAATGGTAGTGTCAAAGCTCAAGGGTGTATCAGGGTCCATGTCACCTGCAAGACACCGTTTTGTTTAACGGGAAAAGACTGGATTTTGAGACCTTGTTCCAAGTCCTTATTCGGCAACCGTGACATATCGGCGCAATTTTTTAAAGTAGTGTATTTTATAATGAGTAATAAGTGTTTTATGTTGTTATTTTAGTTTGTGATCCTAAATGCCCCAAAGGAATACCCTGTAACGTAAAAACACGGACGTGTGAGTGTCCAGACATGAAATATATCGATGAAGAATGCAAAACCAGTAAGTATTCCATGTAGTACCATCTATTTACCGAAATACACGAAGTTATTCTAAGCCATGTGGGATAAGATTCATGAAAGAGCGCGCATGCGCAAATTGGTAGAAACCTAATTTCGTGGTTCTGCTTCTGTGCAATGATATTATCAGGCTATATTAACTATTAACTACATCATGTGTCAATCTACATCTCTTTGACTGTAGTTCGACTTCGCGTAAACTTTAGCTGATTATTATTTTTTAGCTTTGTACAAAACTACTTTTATTGATGCATCACATTACTGGTCGTTTGATGATGTTTTACAAATCACTGATCTGGTTCGGTACAAGTCCGCCGTCATTGAAGGAAAAATTAGCATTGCCAAGAAGGGAGCGTCCAATAAGGCAATACAGTTGAATGGTACGTCCAATTCTATAGTCTTAGGTGACTTTGCTAGCGAATGCATTGGAAACTTTGAACTGTGTGCAAACGGTCTGACGATCTCCGTATGGATAAAACATTACTGGAATATCAAAGACAACACCAAGCATGTTTTCCTTTCCCTTGGAAGTACTTCCGGACTCGAGAAAGGATTTCAAATTGGCTACGATCCAACCATTCAAGGTGAGAATCTTGTCTTTGACCGTTTGTAAATCATCGTATATTACTATATTATTTTTAAATGGAGAGATTTATGATGATGATGATGATGATGATGACAATGATGCATGACATCATGTGCAAATTATCAGTAATAATTATTTATTATTAATCATACCAGGCGAATCACCTTACGTTTCCCTGCTTCTAACTTTCACTACCAAATCGTGCAAATTCAAATTTCCAGTCCTTGGGCGTGAACTTTGGAATCATTACGGATTTTCGTTCAAGAATCTATCTGTACTGAGTGTATATCACAACGGCCAACTTGTAGAGTCAACAATGAAAGAAGCATGCACAACTGTTACAACCATTGAACCCAAGAACCATAAACTACGCGTTGGTTTAACTACACAAAATTCGGTGTTCGAAATCGACGACCTTGTTGTTTGGTATAAATGGTTAAACGAGACTGACTATTTGGATCGTTATAAAGTCATCGGAGGTAACACCAATTTGTGTTGAGAATCATATCTGATAGTGCCATGCGGTCCAAATGTTCATGTCATTAAAAATGTTTGATTATTGTTTCTCACAGTCTCTTTAGAGACTTAGTTGTTACTTAATAAAATAACTTGTTGATGTTTGTAGGAGGCAAAGAGCAGAAAGTTAATTTYATTCTCAAGTTAAGTGACTCGGAATGGCATGATTCGCTGAAAAACCTGGAGAGCCAYAATGCAACAGTACTTATGAAAATCGTCTCTGACAATGTAACTTATATTGAGATTGTTATTGCTATTCTATTTCATCTTTTTTTCATTTTAACTTGTTTTCATTTCCCAAACTTTTTCTTTATTATCCAGTTCAAGGTTATACTGAAAGACGCTGGTTCAAAACAACCAGTCATTGTTGATATCAATGGATTCAGGTAAAAACTCAAATTACACCTGAAATTGTTCTCCAAGTAGTGTAGCCCTGTCGTTCTTTTCATTTTCTTGCTGTCTAAAAAAAAGCGAAATTAAAGTGTAGGCTATTCAAGTAAGATGTTTTAGACGTGGCAAGGTCCATATGATCTCCCAGCGAGCATGTTTGCACACTCGGTTATACTTTGCTACTTTAAGCACATAACTCGCATGATGAATGATTTTTGCTGAGAGAAGACGGAACTGCACTCCTTGCCACTAAGGTGAGATAAAMACACTACCCCGCCCATTCACTTAATTGTCCATATTTAATTTCTCTTTCTTTTTTAGCAAAGGTAGTGTTAACGTAAACGTTACTCTCAAGTTCGGGTCGCTAACGTACAATGACAGTCTGATATTGGAAAAATGGCTGTTCGAAAAGGAAATGTTGAACAATATCAGTGTCAAAGTTCTGGGTATGACATCTTCTACAGGTACCACCTATAAACCATTAATCTAGTACGCCCCTCCCCTCCCTGATTACTGTGTATGTAAATTGGTGGTTGTTATGTGAGTCTGTTGGCACCTTATATCCCCTGTCTTCCTTGTTCTTATAAACCATTAGTCCCATCACGCCCCTCCCCTCCCTGATTACTGTGTAAGTGTATGTAAATCGATGGTTGATATTTGAGTCTATCGGCAGCGCCCCCGTGTCGATATATTTGTATTAATGCAGTTTCTTGTAATTTGATATTTTCAGTTCCACAATTATACCCCAACATGACGTCTAGTCCATACAACCTGTCTGCTATTCAATTAGATTGGGATTCTTTAGACAACGAGTACGATCTCTTTCAAGGATATAAAATAATATACCGAGAAACCGAAAAACCTGAATCAGCCTTCCAAGTACATACGGTATATGGCGAGACCAAGAMAACTCTGATCACCAACCTTGAKCCTGGWGTAAATTACACTATAAGAATGTTAATTATTTCTCTGGCTGGTGATGGCTTTATTTCTCCAATCATATATGGAATCACCAAAGATGACTGTAAGRATTCCATTCATTTTTCCTAGAAATACTGCTATAAGTTAATTTGAATCACTTCATTAAAAGATGTGAGTTAAAAATAGGCGTATCTTGCCAGGAACAAGGGGCTTTTCGAATTCACGGATAATTGTATAACAATTATTTCATATATATAATACAAGTATAAGAATGATAATTTATAAAATGTTTAAAATGAAATAAAATAATTAACGTTTACGACTAGAAGTGATGAGTCATTTAAATGACTCATTTATTTATAAATGGTGTTTTATGAATAAATGCAAAGCGAAAGCTGCTTTACGTATAAAACTATTTTCATGGCTTTTTAAAGAACTTTCAATATCAATTGACATACCGCTGTATTTCTGTTCATTTTTGTAATGATTTTAGTCCCAAATGGTATCCCGATTATTACATCGTATGTAAATACAAGTTCTTCTTCCCTGCTCGTGAATTGGACTCACATCGCAAAAGAAARYTGGAGAGGWGTTCCTCTAGGTTACCGCATCGTCTACTGGYCASCRGARATACCAACTGAARCAGTGCAAAATACAACGGTCCTTCCAGAACTGGCCTTCATTGAGCTGACAGGTTTAAGAAAATTCGCTAACTATTGTWTAAAGACTGCAGSTTATAACAAAGCTGGAGATGGYAACTTCACACAAACAGTATGCTTGAAAACTGATGAAGATGGTAATTATTGTTATTATTATTAYTATTATTATCGGTGTCTGAAGTCTGAAGGTGAATATTGAATAATGAATAACGGTTCAAAATTGACTGGTAATAATGAATAATTCAATAAAACTCCTAAGGAATAATGAATAATGAAAAAAATCAAAAATATCATAAAGAACAATGAATAATGGGGGAAAATAAGACACGAATACAGAATATTTGGCTTGTAAATATTCACCTTCAGATATCATAATAGAGTGTGATTCTGCTCGAAAGTCATCGATGAAACACCTAATATTTGTTATTCCTTTTAAGTCCCTGATCGACCACCGGCAAACGTCGAAATTAGGAATGTAACGAATATGATGCTGAAAGTAACCAGTACAGGTGTACCACTACRCAATCGTAATGGTATTATATTAAAATACACCGTTAATTGGACAGCATACGATGGCAGCAGTCAWGGAGTAGAGACATGTGTGAATTCAACTCTTATAACATGTTATATCAAGGGCTTGACGATTTACACTCGATATAACATATCAATGACGTCATTTACTCGATTAGGGGCTGGTAACTACAGYGCTTGGTACACTGTTCTAACGGATGAGAGTGGTGAGTGAAATAATTGCTTATTGTTMTTTACTTTTCCTTATTATTGTCAAATAAAACGATTGGTTTATTACTTAGTAAATGAATACTCATTTCCTTTTCTTCTTCTAGTCCCATCCTTACCTCCACCTGATCTAAAAGGCTTCAATACCAGTTCTACATCCCTCGTCCTCTCATGGTCAACAATACCACAAGACCATCACAATGGTCGATTGGGAGGGTTTGTTATCAAGTATTCTATAAAGAACACTTACAAATGGCAGTATATATGGATTTGCAAGTCGACTTTAAGTACAAACCTTACGTTACTAAAACCATATAGGGAATATAACATTTCTGTTGCTGGATTCACTGGAGTGGGAATTGGACCCGTTAGCAACGTATACGTTTGGACTGATGAGGACAGTAAGTTACCTTAAAAAGTGAATGAGTGACTTGGTGGGCTGAGTGAATAGGTTGGAGTGTTTGGTTGGTTGGTTAGAGTGGTTGGTAAGTTGGTTGGTAAGTTGGTTGGTTGGTTGGTTGGTTGGTTGTGAATGATGCAAGTGAATGAGTAACTCGGTTAGTTGTTTTTAGAGCTATTTTGCTCTCTGATATAAACAAACATCGAATTGGCAATGCTGATTTCTTATATTCTTTTCAGTCCCATTTTCACCTCCAGTCAACTTTAGCGGTACTAATCTTACGTCGACAAGCCTTCGACTGCAGTGGGAAGCTGTTCCCTACGAACATGCTAATGGCTTGATACTTGGATATACAATCCAATTGCTCAAGACTCATATCATATACAAAAACATCTTGAATACATCCAGCTACAATATCACTGTCCTTGGTGAATCTTCATTACATCGTGTGTTCACCTTACTTGAGATGTTTACCGATTACACATACCGTATTCTAGCGTTTACTAGTAAAGGAAATGGGAACTTTACTGAAGTCATAACCGTCAGGACGAACGAAGATAGTAAGATTGAACAAATATTTTATGTAGTGTTTAAAAAACGAGCAGGAGTGCTTTATCGGGAGATATAGACACGAGGCCAAAAGGCCGAGTGTCTATATCCCAGATAAAGCACGACTKCGAGTTTTTTATACTACTTCTAGAACTCCAACATCCAGAAATTGTTATCATTTTAGAAAAAAGCTAAAAAAATGCGAAAACAGAGATTATGCATGTTAAACTTCTACTGTGCATGTGCATTTGTCACAAATGAAAGAATTTTGATCCCACACGTAAGAACGGCTAGTCTATGCTATASYSCATATCTGCACATTGATTCAAACTGATTTAAAACCTAGCATAGGTCTATGATGCGACATTAAAACTGAGACCTTTGCTAGTGTTGGGTTGCGATAAAGCGATGATGACCTTTAACATCAGTTCTTTATATCTGATATAGAACTGATTAATAAAACATATAGAACTGATTAATAAAACATCAGTGCTTTATCGGGATATAAAGGTCCATCATGTGACCCAATAGTTGGATTCTGATTGGACTAATAGCTCATGAATTATTAATCGTTGACCTCCTATAAGTAAGAATAATTTATTTTCTGGTATCATTATTATCATCAGTGATGATGTTGTATTGTCCGACATCATCTTCATGGTCTGTCATTTGTATACTTTTTAAGTGAAGCTCGTTTATTATTACTATTATTTTTTCTCTATTTTTACAGCACCATTTATTCAACCGTTGAACTTTACTGTAGAAAGCCTTATATGGCATACGTCACGTGCTAACTGGACTCTGATCCCCCCCGTGAAGATCCCTGGGATATGTCGAGGATATATYCTACACTATTTACGTAAAGAAGGGACTAAAGATGTTGGCAAAAGTATTCAAGTTTCTGCCAATACAACTAGCGTTCTGATTCCAAACCTGGCTGGATATATTCTCTACGACTTCTGGATTTATGCTTTTACGTATCCTCATCTTATTGGACCTCATTCAAATGTCAGCATACGAACCCTTGATTGGTGTAGGTATTCTCCTTACCGTATTTACTCGAATAAACGCCGCCCCCGAATAGATGCCGCCTTCAAATTAGACGCCGCACTCAAAATATTAATAGACGCCGCCCCCGAATAGACGCCGCATTATTTGACTGCAAGAGGTGTCAGAAATGCTTGTGTYAGAAAGATCTGAGATGAATTACAATAATCTACAAATATCCATATAAAGTTAGCTTGATAAGTGCAACTAACTTTTTTTAACTTCTATCCAGTGCCATTGATACCTCCTCGTAAGTTCACCGCAATACCTGTGTCATCGACAAGTATTAAAGTGAGTTGGGAAAAGCTGCCAGAAGAATTAACCAATGGTGTAATGGTTGGATATATACTCGAATATACAAACAATAATAAAACTAAGAGTATGAATGCCACTTACTCTGCTGACACGACATCAGCAACCTTAACAAACTTATGGAAGTTTAATTACTTCACACTCAAGATCATTCCTAGAAATGTTAATGGTTTTTGTAGATACTGGTCAGACAGTACGACCGTACGGACTTTTGAAGACAGTAAGTGATTTATCATTAATGATTGAACTGTTGTTGCTGATTGTTTGTTTGATCATTTCAACTGTAGTCAGACCTAGTTGTCAGTCATAATGGTGTGACGTCATTCCTGCGCGTCCCTCGCGACTATATTCGCACTATCTATGAGTGAATGCACGCATCCTTAAAGTCCTCTCAACAGTCAGTTACCAGTCCAATATTGAAATACGATGGCCGTGCCTTTGCATCCAGTGGAGAAAAAAAGTCYTTTATTCAAAAACACCGATTTACAATTGCCGTATGTCTCACATCACGGCTGCTTTTCAAGATGCCGCAGGAAGCTGTGAAAGGGATCATCCTTTCTTTGAATCTATCATTTCTTTTACTTTCACTAACAGCTCCAGATAAGTCTCCTGCAAACTCGACTGGTCAGTCTGTAAGCCCAACGTCTGTCTTGATCAACTGGAAACCAGTACCACGTGACTACCAAAACGGCTACATTACMAAGCATTCAGTGTTTTATCGATTGATAGCAATAGCTGARGAACCTGTACTGGGTCAACCAACAATACGAAAAGATGTTGGTCCAACAACATACGAGCTGTTGATTCAAGATTTGCAATCATTTGCTGATTACGATGTGATGGTTCTCGCTCGAACCGTCAAGGGAGACGGGGTTAAAGCAGCAGCGTTTGTGACTTGTAAGTTAAAAAAACAACAACCGAACCTTCAAATGATTATCTTTGCCACGGTCTCTCGTTTGGTCATTTTGGCACTATATCCACTAATCATTTTTCTATTCTTTGTATTAGCAACTTGTCGGTGTTATGAACACGTTACCACAAATTGGCGAATCATGCCACCCTACGTAACGCATGATGAAATAGGACTAGTAAACAAGCCAAWAGGAATGATGCCCGCCATTATTGAAGCAGGTGTACTGGACTGCTGCAGAGATTGTCCAGCTTTTGGAAAAGTGAAAATAAACTTCTTCCGAGACGGAAACAATAACCCCGCCGAAAAAGAAAAAGATATCGAAGTCAAGTCTGCCATAGATGACGAAACAGACTTAAGTTTTCCCATATTTGGATATACTGACCAAACTCATTACGCAAAGTACTATGGGTATACACCTATYGTTCCTAGTTCTGGTGTAGCCTTCATCGTTAACAGGCAGCAAAGTGTTGCTTCACCCAATAACGTTGCATTAGCAGTATTTAACTGTTGGCCTTTGCTCATGCTTAATGTTATTTTAGCCTTTGCAGTTGGCGTCATTGTATGGCTCTTGGTAAGCTGTTTGTTTGTTTATTATTTGCTGTGAGTCAATCAGRTTTAGAATAAAAAGAAAAACATATAATGGTGGTGCTGCAATTCCCCGTAAGCTGTAGCTAAGTTTTGTCAAAAAAGGATGAACCAGCGATGCTGAAAAAGTGATAAATATTCTTTGGCAGTGRATCCTAATTCAAAATGGCGGGCTGGAAGATTTTCTCTTGCAGTTTATTACTTTTATATTTCATGTTTTCAATAAGGATATTAAGTTTTTCTTATTGTTTTCTTTTTTCAAGGACTCGAAATACAATCCAGACCACTTTCATGGTTCATTCATACGTGGAGTTGGCAGTGGGTTTTGGTTTGCATTYGTTACGCTCACAACAGTTGGGTAAGTTACTATTTAACGACAAATCATTACCTTCTMTCGGTGCTATAATCGTTAACATTATCGTTAGCATTACCTATCAGTACATTATGCTGTTGTAATTGTCTTGTAGCTATGGTGACAAGACRGTAGTCACCATTCCAGCTCGTATTTTTACTGTATTCTGGACTCTGTTTGGCCTTGTTGTGTTTGGTATTCTAATGGGGTCCTTCAGCGCTGCTTTTGAAACCATGGTATATGCCGAGACAAAAAGTGACATAATGACTGCATTGTATGGAACCAAGGTAGCTGCAATTGATAACTCCTCAGAACATCGACTTGGACTACGCAAAAATGCTAAAGTCAATACAGGTTAGATGAATCCAAGTAAAATACTTAGTCTAGAGTGTAGGGCGATCCAGGATTCTCTTCATGGAGAGGTGTGGCATTCGAGAATGACAGAAAGGAGGGGTACGAAACACAGAAACAAAAAAGACGTAAAGAACTTTTGTAAAAGTTAAAAAACCAAATTCATTTGGTTGCGCCCTTTCCCTTTGGATCCACAGGTTAATAGTAATGAGATTATATTTACCATTTTTTATAAATACCACTAAATACTGCTGAATTATGCTAAGTCTATTGTTTTCTATTTTTTCACTGTTTTGTAGTAAATAGTGGAAAGTGTTGCACACATTTAATGTTTGTACTCTATTATTTCTAGTTCATCRTTACAAAACAGTCGAAGAGATTCGAGATGCCTTGGTTAATGAGGAAGTTAAAGGAGCTTTAGTCGATGCTTACGAAGCTGCATATCATCATTCGTTGTTTGAACACCGCTTATTAAGGCTAACGAGTGTGTACCATATTCCGACTGCTAACGGTCTTGTCTTAGCTGGAAAAATCAAGAAAATTGAAAAATGTATGTTGGAGTACATGAGTGCGAACCGGGGCTGGATATCGCATCACATCGCAAAAAATGCACAAACACTAAAAGTGAGTTTTCTATTTTTTATTAACCGACCCTATTAGTATTGTCATCGTTGTTGCTGTCAAAATTTATTTGTGATAATAGGAGTATCATTATTGTAGTAGTTGTCAGTATTGTCATCGTTGTTGCTGTTGATCATTGTTACCCAAAAATATACATTATATACAGTTCCAATTATAGAACACTTAATCACTTTCAGCAATCCAAAGCACCAATGGTCGAAGTTGCGCAAGATATGGTCGACAGCACGTCCAACATTTTCCTTCAGTCTCAAACAAGTCTTATTGCTATATTTGCAATTGTGGCTGTCTTTGGTCTGYTGTCTGAGGCTTTTAGGCGATTTAGAAAACCCAAAAAGAAAGAAGGTAAAAGAGTTATTGTTTTTTTACGGCATTCGTTTGCTATTTATTTTTCACATCTCTTTCTCCTTATCATTCCAATACGTATTATCTAATGTGATGTACGTATGCATTTTGTTGTAGTTTTTGTTTTTTTATTTTGAAGAGAATTTAACGGCTGTGTAGAAAAGAATATAATAACACCAATGTATTTAATACATGTGCAATATAATAACACCAATGTTTTATTTCAGACGTGTATTCAGTGAAAATTGACACTGACGAACTAAGACGAACCTCTAACAAAATGCTTTTAACATTAAAGAAGAGAATAAATATACACAAACAMAAATTGGAGAAACTTATGAAAAAACAATGAAGAATTTGGAAAGTCTACCATTACTGATGGATGACAATTCTTCAAGACGAGTGTTTAAAGTGCTGCACAAGGTGTAACGAGAAACTCTTGCAATTGAGGCTCCGGATATCAAATATGCAATATTATATATTAAAAAACAAATTGCACGTCCTGCAAGGGAGAAATATGTAGATATGAATTTCGGATTTGCGTTTCGCTCCAGTTGTTAAACACAAAAGAATCGAAACGAGGCGCGTACGTAATGCTCTGAAACTATTGTCTTTCCACGAATGACTGAGCTTTATGCACGGCGCCTCGTCTTGATTCTTTTGTGTAAGACTACCGAGGCAAAATTCGCAAGTCAGCTGTTGTGCTAAGCATGTCAAGGAAAATGCCTCCTTACTATTGGGCTTCCTATATTTGGCTTACTCTGAAGCCATTCATCACCACTCTTCCTCTTGTGGTTCCCAGTTTCTCTCATCGTTTGACCACAGGAAATCCAATGGAAATGAGTTGCTTTCAAAGCTGGAAAAGAACGACTAACTTATTATTGCTACCGCCTCACATTGCGCGCCGAAAATCAACGATTTTTACTAAATAAAGACTGATTAACCATACTTTTTGTGTGCCTATTTACATCTCAGATTCGTTTATTGCAGATGATATTGCAGGATTGTTGATGAGACATTGTCAATCACATCCCGATTGGACTGACACTGCTCATTAATGACAAGTTTGTACATCCTAACTAATCACATACATCATTCGTCAAATWGATAAAAAACTTTAATGCTGAAAATGCTCATTTACAAATATACACATTTTTCTTATAAAAAAACAACATTATCATAATGTATAAATTCATGGTTTAGTCCTTTTATGAAAATCCATCATGTCGAGCTTGCTTATGGCTTGATATCTAGTTAGTCTTTGTGAGAAAACTCTGCAAATGACAAAGAAAAAGACATAAAACCACATTATGGCCTCTATGGTTTACTCGAATAGCAAATTATAGAGCGAACTAAACACTGGGGTAAATAAATCACGAASAGACGTTTAACGCAGCAGGCATGACCTATTAGGAGACGGTTAATATTGCAAAAATAACACGAACAAAMAGGAGAAAAAAAGCAAGGAAACAAAACAATGCTGATTTAGATTGCTTACTGTCTCTCTAGTCGTTGCAAACGTTGAAAACCAGCGTCTTCTTCATCATATTGTTGTCTAAGCGTTGGTGGATCTTCTGCAAATCGYACTCGATTATTCCTTGTTTTCTTTGGTGCACGTGACCATTGTGATGGAAGCATTGGCTGTAATGGGGACGAAGGGGGTGGTAGTGGGATGACGGGTGATGATATCGGAAATGGTTGTGMTCTTGATTCTARTGGTGAGTTTGGTGATGAAATTAAGTTAAGATRCATTTCATTGAGCTGYAAAACGCTTGATGATGACGATGAACACAGAGATAGCAATGAAGTTGATGGCGATGACAACGCTAATGATTGTAAATATGATTCTTCTATCATTGATGATGATTGACTGCTGTCAATCAATGATCCCGATGAATGCTCGTTATCAGATAAAGGTGATGCCAATAATAGGTGATGTGATTCTTCTGACGGTGCGGTTCGGTCAGTGCATGCCGATGGTGATACTAGTTCATCAGATGTTAAAAATGACTTGTAACAGTGTGTTTCTCGAGGTGAAAATATTGAGTTACTGCTGTTCGATGGAGAACCTAATTCAAGGGATGATAATGAGCATGTCGACATCGAAAGGTATCCAGAATCTAAAGACGAGCTGGCAGATGGTGAAGAAGGACAGCCATTGATCTGTGGACATCAAATTCTTTGTTGTATAAATTGTTTTGTAAATTGTTACTAATTGGGGGAACCTACCTGATTGTACAGATTCCCATCATACTGTTCGAGCACGTCCTTCATGTTCCCATGATGYTTATCGTACATGTTAAACATCTTGGACGTGATTTCCAGTTGAGGTAAATAAGGCTTTTTGGAAATTTTATCACCAAGTTCAATTCTGAAAGAAAATACACCCTGTTAAGAATGATTGAATAATTGACATTATGAATTTAAAAAAAACGAATACGCATTACGTCTGGGAATATTTTAAAAGAAGTTATTCCTAAATGCTCACCCCAAATCATATCGAAATTCATCTTGCCATTCAAGGTCGTTTGGTAATGGTGTGTAAGCAGGAGACAGAGCGCGGTAAAGATGTCGAGTAGGTGATGCAGGGAATTCTTCACGTACTTGACTCGTAACTACACGTTGTCCCAGGAGACCCGTCCTCTCGCCGATAGGTCGACTTAATGTGCTTGATAACTGTGATTTACCGGTCCTATAAGTAACGAAAAAACAATAGTTTTGTGCACAAGGCAGGCTTACACTAGATAGAGAAGTATTATCGAGGAAGTACGGCCAACATTCTTACCAACTGAATGACATGTATAATCCACCAATGAGTCCAACTACTAACACAGGGATCCCAATCCACATTAATGCCATTGTACGTTCTCTTTTTTGTTCTTTAGCAGATACCTTCAGAAAAAAATATAAGCAGTTCAATTATAAATCATTGTCTTATAATAGTACAAGAATGAGGGAAGATGGAACGCATAGCTTTTCCACTAATGTTGTGTGGCTTGTAAAAAGAACTATGTAGTAGCTTGCTAGATAACTATGCCGCTAATTTTTTTAATAAAAAACGCTTTGTATTTTATTATGATATGATCTTCCTGGGTTTGAATATCAATAATAAAATATAATCTTATTATTATTAATTTATAATGATGATGATGATGATGATGACGATGATGATGATGCAAGATGAGGAGTGCATGGAAGGAGGAAGTTAGGTTCCAGTTCTCTCATGCCCTACCACAGTTAACACAGSAATCTCCTAAAATATAAACAGTACTTTCAATAAGGTTGTAAGGATCGCTTTTGATGAAGTGAAGCATTTACCTGGTCATCTGACAGGTCCGCCAATACAGCGAAATTTGACAAATGCGAACACTGACAGACTGAGTGAGTTTGATTACTTGATGCCAACTTGCAACCACGCGTTGACCAACCCCCTCCCCTGTGGGGACTACGAACAAATTGTTAATTAATGAATAAACAGTTCACAGAGCATTAGCAGCGTTGTTTTATAGAGTACATGCCGAAAGACTTACTTGATTCTGTAGTCCCAAAAGACACACCTTGGATTATCTCTCTTAAGCTGAAATTCAGTTAACAAAGGTGTTAGATAATGTGCTGTAAAAAACCATTGTGATGCTATTAGTACTCACCTTAATATGACTGAGAATGATTGTAACAGGCGGTGAGATTTTGTCAGGCGGGGCAGGGTGAAGAATTGTCGATATGATTTTAGAATTAGGTCCCAGTCCACTGCTTGATGAGAAGAAATACAATGTCAATCATTGGTTTTCCCAGAAAGCAGGTGGTTGTAGATCTTCTATTAACTAGTATTAGTGTTTTACCTTGAATTGACGTCAGGTAAGATGTACGGAAGACTTTTAAAACTTATACTCGCTGCACTGAACTCTCCTGGAAATAAAAAAATAAAACTGTTTATCGCCTGGTACATCTCACTTCTACCTGTAGTTTTATATATTCTATATATATGACTGTATTTGAAATCAGCAGTTCTACCTCAGTAACTGTAGTGCTTGCTGCGCGCTATTATGACAATYATTACCTGCTTTGAAGACGGACGGTGGAATGGAGATGACGTCATGTCTAACGTCCCATTTTGAGATCTCCTCCTCTGAGTAGTCAGGAAATGTTAAGCGACCGCTCCTCGCTGATCGTCGATCAAGCTTTAGAACTACATAGAAAAGCATATAGGCATAAAAAGGAAGCTTTGATATCATGTTAACCTAATTTCATCATACTTATGTTATTCGTGATGAATGGTTTTCTCATGCCATCACGTGGTAACCTCATGGCTGCTTGTAACGAGAACATCTCCATTGAACGCAATATATCAGCTGAACCGGGCTTCGTCTGTSGACAGAAAAAATGTGAGCTGTGCTTATATCGTATGATTAGACGATTTCCGAGAAGAACGCGCACTTTTAAATATATCGCARACGTGCGTATAAAGACGGGGGTCATTTTCGGGCAGAAATAGAAGCAACATTGCAGGAAAGCCTGCCTGGAAATATGCGCGCGCCCTGCTGGCATTTGGTAATTCCTTCTCATTAAAGCTTGGAGTAATCAAAACAAGTTTAAAATACAAATTGTTTCATTGCTCGTATTGTTTTTATTCATTTKTTTTCTTCATTCATTTGATTATCCCATATTTCATCCATCCATTTGTTCATTGATTGCATTCCATTGTTAATTACCTCTTGCACATTGATCCATTCTTGTTTATTCGTCAAGTCAAGTAGGTTGCTACTCGTTGTGATGAAATTCTTTGATAATAGGAACGAAAACAAAAATTAATCATTAAGAAAGTACTTTCGTATGCACCTTCGTTTGCAGYATACAGAAAGCCCAATAATCAGGATCCGATAGGCACTAATGTTAAACAAAAAGCGACAATCAATCAATCAATCAGTTACCTGCATGTCGTCTCTGTCCATCTCAAGAAGATCATTTTGCCCATTATGCTGCACAATTGCTGCCATGACTTCAGCTGATTTCAGTAAATCTCCTCCGAAAATTAACGAATTATCTAGTGTTTGTGTGGTCAGCTGTGAAAGGTCTCGAATCAGAGGACGAGCGTCCGCCCCTTCGGCTAATTTGTGAGACTGAAAGAGAAAAATATACAATTTTTCTGCTTGTTTTGTTGCATTGTTGTATTACTCTAGTAAACACAGTTTTAAAATATTTTGTTGAAAGATTGCGTTACCTTTTCATGAATATTCAAATAGTCACTTGTCACACACTGACTAAAATCTGGACTCTGCCATCTTGAATCTGGTCCRCAACGTCTCCTTGCATTGCCTTTAGCATCACGTGGACATGGTACGGTGGAGTAATGTCCTGCTGAAGTTTTCTTCCAGTTGATGGCTAAAGCTTTTTCTGTTTTACAAACCTCATGGATTCCTGAAAAGAGTGATCTCATTTTCAATTCTTCAATCAAATTTGTTTATCATTGCTTTGTTAATTGGAAGGAATTGGAAAGAGAACACCCGAGAGAAAACATCTGCAAGTAGGATGTTTACATTATTTGTTTAATTACAACTCTTTAGGTAATATAATTTCCTACTATTTAGGTACTTTAGTCGTTATATTAGAATCAACAGTATTATCTTATGAAATGATGTTATTGACCCACCAGTCGGCGATAGCTTGTCACTGTCAGGTTTGTTAGTATCGTTGTTATCAGAGTTTTCGTCGTCTAAAGTAACATGAAAGAGCATTTATTTTTTTAAATATAGTAGTGCAGTGTTAATGTAGGGAGGTTTGCAAAATACGATAAACATTAACTTCATACCATCTTGTTCATCTTCCTCGATATCTGATCGTCTTATGAAGCACATTTTAGGACTGTACTGTTTGATGAGTGCAGGCGTTACTTGACAGGTGTCCTTACTCTTGCAATGAACCAAGTAGCAATTCTCACCGGTTTTATAGGCAAGATCACATGACTTTGATTGACAGCAACGCTTAACGCACAGTTCAAAGTCTCCAACATCACCGATCTTGGTAAAGTTTCCTGCTCTTTTGCCTTGCATTAATGTCATGTCATCAGTGACTTTACCTGCTTTGCAGGTAGGATCTCTATGTTTCCGTTTCTTGCTGCCTTGCTCACCTTATTCAAAATTAGCAATAATGAATATTAAATAGAAACAAATATAGTTGTAATAGTTGTAATCTGCGTCGAGAAAACCTCTCTGAATTTGCCAAAAGCATACTTACCTATAAGGCCATCAATGTCATCAACATCATTAGGATCAGCAGGCGGAGGGATAGGAATATCCGCTTCTGTTGGCTTCAGTGTGGTAGACTTTACTGTGGTTGGAGTTGTTCTTGTTGTTGGACGAGTCGTTGCTTTTGTAGTAGGTGTAGTTGAGGTTGTTGATGGAGGCGTAGGTTTGGTTGTTGTGGGAACTGGAGGTGGAGGAGTTGGCGGTGGTGGTGGAGGAGGTGGTGGAGGAGGTGGTGGTGGTGGTGATACTCCAGGTTGCTGTGGTTGTCCTGACAATGGTGCAGGAACCTGCGCTGGGATTTGATTTACTACTTGTGGCTGTGATGGCTTTGCTATTTGAGGTTGTACTTGTTGTGGAGATGGAGGGGTCATTTGTACTTGTTGTGGAGATGGAGGGGTCATTTGTACTTGTGCAGGTTGATTTTGCTGCGGTGAGATAGCAGGTACCGCCGGTAATCCGGGACCAACTAGAAGTTAGATTTATGAATAGTCAGCTATTCATTTTGTATTTACTACTACAATAATACAATAGAGCGGATTTCGTATGAGTGGGAAACGGACGGTACTGTACTGTGACCGTAATCGTACTGTAACCAAATTCTAGTGCCCCATTGCTTCAAAAACATTGTGCAGGCCAGGTCCGGTAACTGTGCGGTAATTTCTACAGTACGTTTCCCACTCATACGAAATTGATCTCTAATCACTTCATACCTTGGGGTGTATTCTTTTCATTGTGAAAGAAACCTTTTAAAGTGTTGAAGTTGTTCGTTGGTAAAACACCATTTTTCATTGGCTGGTTGTTGACACCAGGAGCATTTCCTTGTTGACCTTTGATCTGTGGTTGAAACTGGGGAGGATTCGGTATCACGTCYCGRTTATTATTTTGAACATTCATGGGACGTCCTGKCCATAGWGGATTAGTTTGATTTTGTACAATGTTCGGGTTTGTTTGCTGATGTAACAAAGTGCTTGTGGACCAAGTCTGAATCGATGGTGTTGGATGTGGTACCATGTTTCCTTGGGTAATATTCGGAAGTATGTTGTAAGGAATATTATACCCATTCAGTTGTTGTCTTTGATCTGGTTTGTTCCACGGAGGTTGTGTTGGTTGTGGACCCCACGATGCCCTGTATGGTGGAGTACTTTGTTTGTATGGATTGGATATGTAGTTCGGAGTAATTTGCTTGTTTATTGGCCACGGTGTAGTAGTTTTCGTTCCAATGTCATTCCAATGTTGTTTGTCTCTCCAATCTGTATCATCRTGATGTGATTCATGTGKGCTTTCTCTCCAGTGGTCTTCGTCGTGGYGGTTGCTATTCCCCCAATGTGGAGGCCATTTTTCCTCGCCATGTCTTTCATGATTTCTATCTTCCCAAGGACGATCGCTGTCTTCGKTTTTCCATGGATGAAAACGTCCTGAATTATCTTCATCCCTGTACGTTTCGTGATCCTTATKGTGATGGTACTCATAGGATTTTCCATGATTTCTCCAGTGACGTTCTTCCCAGCCATTTCTTTCTTCATTTTTTCTTTCATTATGTTCCCGTTCTTTTTCCCATTTRTATCTYTCCCAATCCTCATGACCATGGGGATAATGCTTGTTCTYTCTGAAATCGTCACGATCCTTCTCGTGGTKGAAAGCAGATTCTCCGTGTTTGAAATGCGAAAATGGCTTTCTTTGCCAATCATGATGCTCGTCATCATAATCCTTGTGAGATTCCTTTTTCATGTGTTTTAACCATTTCTCGTAATCTCGCATGAATTTACTTTTCTCTTTGTGTTTTTCATATTCATCTCGGTTCTTGTGTTCTTCACGACTGTCGTCWTCTGAATCTTCCCCTATAAATACACGGCTCTTTGATTTCTTGAAATGGTGTTCACGAACGTGATTTTTGATTGGATGACGGAAGTGATGATGGTACTCCTTTTCATCATGTTCTTGATCGTCTCGATGTTCATCGTCGTCATTGTGATATTTATGTTTCACATGGTGGAAAGGTTTCTCTTTGTCGTATTTGTAATATTTYTGATGATGCTCTTCACGATCTTCTTCGTAATCGTTCTTTTTATGATGAGATCCATAATGATTTTCCACATACTCGATTTTCTTGCGCTCATCATGTTGTTTTCGGCTGAGTTTCTTATGGTATCTTCGCCTGCTTTCATGATCACTGCTGCTATCATCATCGTTGTCCTCGTGTTTTGGTTTCTTTTTACGATAATGTGGATGGTACTTTTTCGCATGTTTAGATTTTGCTTCATCAGAATCKTCTTCATCATTTTTTTCAGTTTCTTCATGATAACGATGAGGTGGATGAKGTGGTTTGTTCTTTTCTTCACCATCATCATYATCATTATCTGATGGTTTGGGGTGACGATGATGGTAGTGATGAACTGGCTTGTCGTCTTGGTCATCATCATTTGAAGGTTTTGGATGGTGATGGTTATGATGGGTTGGCTTGTTATCTTGTTCGTCCTCATCTGAAGGTTTTGGGTGATGATGATGGTAATGGTGAACAGAATGAACTGGCTTGTCATCTTGACCATCCGAGTCCTCATCTGAAGTTTTTGGGTGACGATGATGGTCATGATGAACTGGTTGGTTTTCTTGCTCATCATCATCATCTTCATCAGATTTTGGGTGATGAGGATGGGAAGGTTTGTGCTTGGCTTTATGCGTCTTTACGWGCTTGGTGTTAGTTCTTCCTTCTCCTGTCTCGTCCTTTACCTTTTTTATGTACTTGATATGACCTTTGAACCAAGGCTCATGTTTGGAATGCTTCTTTTTCTTCTTGGACGACTTTTTCTTGGGCTTTTCATCATTATAATCATCGCTTCCACTCACATCCTCTCCAACAAACACCTTCTTTTGCTTTTTAGTTTTCTTTTTCTTTATTTTCTTTTTACTTTGTTTGTGTTTATTTTTGTGAGGAATGTCATTCGACATCAAAATATCGAAATCAGAATCTCCAATGTCCTCTGCATCGACTCGTCCCACATGATGRTGCTTAATCTTYTTGTGTTTTTTCTTTTTATGACTCTCAGAAGAGAATTGCACACTGTCTTGTACATCAGGAACGTCAACAAAATGGCCGAGTAAAGTTGCATTGGTTTCCTTTGATTTCCTTGTATCAGTGAGCGAAGGAAGWTTTTCCACAGATTCTAYTGTGTGTTTTGCCTCAAAATGTGCTGCATTTGTAAAGTTATCTTTATGTTTCCGAGAATCCATTTTTCTTTTGCTGTCTTCATTTTCAGCAAAGTCAGTTGTTTTATCTTGATTCACAYTGTAAAAGTGTATTTCACTTTTCTCTTTATTTGGCAATGTCTTCGAAACTRAACTGTTTTTTSTAGGTGMTGAMGACTCAAATGGGCCAGAGGCATTGCCATTTCCTTTTTCACTGGCAACGTTTTTACTAGYTACATTGTCATGATTCGTTGAAGTATTACSTCGTACGGATTTCATCTTAGAATCATGATGAGTATTTACAAAGGAACGGTGTTGTGTCCCAAGCTTGGTTTTATGTTYTATATTAAGCAGTGTTTGCATATTTGAATGCTTTTTGAGTTTCTTTGACGTTTGCAAAAATAAGTGAATCTTTGGATGATGAGAAGAACTWTGTTTTAACTTCTTGATTTTGCTCTTCTTTTTTAGCGTGCTCTTCTTTGTCTGTTTGCCTTTCCCATTTGGTATGGTATTCTTTCTCTGTGTTTTCTTATCTTTCTTMTCTTTCTTTTTGTCTTTTATTTTTGGTGTAATATCCTTTTTCTGTTTCCTCTTCTTTTTCTTCASTTTGTCGTTCATATTTGGTGTAGMAGTCTTTTTTGGAGTCCTCTTCTTKTTCAATAATTTAGAGTAACTGGGCGCCAAATTCCGCTCCCCTTYGTTGACCTGATGRGTGTTTTGAAGGTCATAATGTTTGGAAGCCTTCTTTGTTACCTGTTTAAGCTTAGTTGCTATTTTTGARTTCTTTTTTATGTGAATCACTGCCGCTGTTTTAGTAATGGGTTTCACTTTGCTGAAAACYTGCACTTTACKTGATTTYGKTATCKTTGTTTGTTTACCYTTGCTGGCCAGTTTAATAGGATGCAAAGCTAATTTCTTYAAGGCGTGCTTTACTGGACGTTTCCTAGTRGGGTGGTTGTCCTGACCACTGCCTAGCCTCTTCACATGCTGGTTAGTTCCAACATTCTTTTTCAAAGCAATATTTTTGCTCTTAACAAATGACTTTTTAGATTCAGGACTAGAAGATGATCGTTGACTGTTTTGTAGCTTTWGAGCAGTCTGTTGAGAATTCAATTCTTTGGATTTGAAGCCATTTGTTTGGTGTTTGGAAAAATTTCCCTTCAAAGTGTAGCCGCTGTGCTTTATGACCAGATTCTTTCCGGTTGCTGTGGAATTGCTTCTAGAATTCCCATTTGACTGGCTATCCTTTATTTTGATCCTGTTAAATCCATTAACAACATGAAATGTTGAACTTTTTTTGCTCGGAGAGATCTTTACATTTCCAGAAACAACTTCTCCTYTTTTCAGTAATTTTTCTTCTCCTTTAAGATGTGAAAAAGTGTTCCCTTTTCCTGTTGTCCTTGTGGTGTTTTGTGGTTTAGACTCTGGTAAAACTGTCTCAGTGAAAACTTGATATTTTGTAGTCACATCAATTTTAGAAATATGTTTGCTTGGGGCACTGTTTTTCGACTCAATTGTTTTGTTGACCGTTGACTTGCCTGACTCAATTGTATCGACCAAATCAGTTYTTGATAYAYGTTGCTCTTTYCGTTGATTCAAAAGAGATAYTGTCTGTTTTCCTTGATGGACTTGAGRCCGTGTTTCTTYAGTGGTTTCCTCCACTCCTTTGTCCTGCGCATGCGCTTGTATGCTATCAAATTCAYCAACATCGTCATYATCAGCTCCAAAATCATCAGGATCATCATTTMCTTTCTTGGGATTTGCGGTTACATTGATTGAATTCRATATCAGAGAATYATCACGGCTTTGRTTGCCTGTTCGTATTGCTTTTTCTGCAGGAGTGGCGTCCTGGCTATGATATGCGATGTTATCACCATGGCTTACAACATTAACAACGCTTTGATTAGATTTCCGAGGATAATCATGTTCTTGCCTGCCTTTGTCGTTGAGAATAGAGCTTTCTTTTCCTCGACGTATGGTTTTTCCTATAGCAGGACTCTCGTCCTGGGCATGACCTTGTATTGTATCACCATGGTTTACGACATTAACAACGCTTTGATTGGATTTCCGAGGATAATCATGTTCTTGTCTGCCTTTGTCGTTAAGAAGAAAGCTTTGATTGCCTGGATGTATAACAGGAGTCACGTCCAGGGCATGACCTTGGATGTTATCACCATGGTGATCATCATCGTCATCACCAAATTCATCAGGATCATCATTACTTTCACTCATGAAATGACTTTCTCGGATGCTTGTTTGATGTTGTTTGGAATTGTCGATCTCCGTAGTGTTCACATTCCCTGGAGTTGTATGTTTTTTGCTTTCTACTTTTAATGTTTTTCTTGGAACATCTTTCCACGTCTTATGTTCTTCGGGAACTGTTTTGCTTGTTTTTGATAGGTGAGAACTTTGTTGCAATGCCTGCGTGTTTATGTTTGATGATAACCCAGGAGGTTTACCTGAAACTGTGGGATTTATTACTTTACGTTTTTCTTCCATCTTAGGCTTAGGCTTAACTTYATTTTTTTCCTTGGAAGTCACCTTGTCCAGCTGTGTTAGATTGTACTTCAATTTCGCTCCATTTGTTATGTTTATGTTAATAGTCAAATTCAAAGACTTTTGCGACTTTGTCACTGACTCGGGTGAAGAAGAACCATGTTTCGTCAATGTCGAGTGTACTGCCGCTATCCAACGCGAGGTTGGCAAGGTTTCTTTGGTTTCCCTTTTAATCGTTGGACGTATATTTTGCGTCATATTGACAGTTGTTTGCGACGTTACGTTATACTTATTGGATCCTTCTTGTATATCATCTTTGATATGCTGAGACTTGTTGAGATGATGGTGAGCAACGCTGTCTTGTTGTAATYCTTTGTGTTCCTCACCCATGTCAATTATTCTCTTCTCTTCCATTGTCGAATTTGCAGTCAAGTTATTACGGTCGACAACGAAACCCTTGCTGCTTTTATGATTGATAGGAATTTTTGACCCAAGTGTAGTTATATTTCTTGCTTCTGCCTTAGAAGTATTTACCTTTTCATTCTGTATTCCAGTTTTTAGTTCATGTTCACCTTCATTCAAAACTTTCATTTGAGAGATGTGTGTCTTTTGACTTACATTATTTAAGTTACTTGTTGACTTTTTTGTGTCTTCTTTCTTACTATTATCAAGTAAGGTGTAATTTTGTGCGCGCTTCGTGTTTATACCAAAATYAATTGAAATATTGGCAGAGGCGGTTCCAGCAACTGAAGCCTGTTCAGAAGATAGTMGTTGGCTCGATGTCGAGTTTTGCGTCGTTCTGTTTAAGCTTTCTACATGGTGCAAAAGGTTTGGATTTGATTTTTGTCTTGGCTTTTCTTCTTGTCTCGAAAGTGACCGACCGTCGTTGTGATTCTGATGATGATCTATTAACTGCGCATGA